GTAGGAGGAATGTGACAGGAAAGGTCCAGAGCACCCACCTAGAAATCACCCCGCCTGAGCAAGAAGCCCCTATAGGGATAACAGTGCACCCAGTGGGGCCTGCCCCTTACAGTTGGTTGGGAAATAATAGCTTAGAAATAACTATTTAAGAAATTAGTGCTTTAGGATTCTCATAACTAGTTATCTCTTGGTTCTTTAGAGGAAAAGGCAGAATAGGTTTTACTTAGAAATTTAGTGTCTTTTTTTTTTTTTTTGCCTGTCATTTCATGCTGTGGCTTCCTAGAACAAACAACCTTTTTTGTTTTATTCCTAGAGAAATAATACATGACACATGGGTGTTTAATCACAAAATAAAAATGTCAAACTTTATCTTTGAAACAAAATAAATGGCTGAGTATTGTCTTTTCTCATTTATTGTAAAATATGCTATCTACACTAAATCTTGGTAAGCATCCCACTCTCCAATCTTCTTGATATTTAAAACAGGTGAGTAATTAATTTCAGAGCTCGGTGCGTTTCCTCTGTAAGAAATCATTTGCTTACTCACAATATATCCTAGAACCTAAACCTCAAAAGCTGTAGACTTTGCTAGATAAATATCTGCTGTTGTAATGGTGTTTTAAACGCCAGAGCTGCATTTAAATATTCTTAATTCTTTTCATTTTTATAACTGAGTGGCTGAAAAGATAGAAAAGAATTGTAAAGAATATAATCATCGCACAACTCTCTCACCCTGTTTCTTCCTTTACAGAGTCGCAGTTCCCACACCTGACATGCTTTCTTTGTGTAGTGACTGTGAGAACCAGAAAGGAGAAGAAATTAAAAAGTCCTCCAAAGTTCTGAAGGGACTGCCCTGCAGGAGGGTGTATTTTGTTGATTTAATATATATTAAATACATTTTTACAAAAGTACTTATTCATTCACTTAACCAGCAATTTCTGAGCACTTAGTATATAGACCATGCCCTGGGAATACAATAATAAACCAGAGTCCAACATCATATCATTCTCACGATACTCAAGCCCACCTGGAGGAATAGACACAAAACAGGATCATGCAGATTGCCATGACTACTATAGTCAGCAAGAGCCTCATGGAGGAAGTGGCATTTGAGTTGAAGCTTGAAGGATAAGAACAGAACACACATGGTAGAGCTGAGGAAGAATATTCCAGGCAGAGCTTAGCAAGAACAAAGGCCTGGAGGCTGGAAATAGAAAGCAACCAATGTGACTGTAGGGTGGGTGGTAAGAGGGAGAGCAGAATATGAGCATAGTCTGGACCAGACCAGACTACATTTCCAAATGGAAACATGGTTCACATTTGAGGAAGCATCCCAAATTGAATTCCTCTATCCTTCTATGAGGTAAGGCTGAGTAATCTACCCCAGATTCCTGTGTGGGTGACTGTTAGTGGTCCTTGGATGCTTGGAAAGTCTAGGTAATCTGCCCAAGGAGCATCGGTGTCCATTGATAGCATTTCTCTGCAACCATACTTGGAGATGGATACAAGGGTAGGTGACTCAAGATCAGCAGGTTGGGCCGGGATTTGAGGCAGAGAGAAGGGAATGTTAGTTCATCTGCTTTTCTCCAGACTTCAATATGTGGGGCTCTTCCAATAAACCACCAGGACCTACTTGAGATACCTTGAATGGTAGGTACCTAGCTTTGCCAAGAGAAGACCTTTGGCTCATGGGGCAAGGAAGCTCACTCTATAGCCAGCTGCAGAAGATGATGGGCTTCTAGCACTTCAGAGAACCTGGCAGCTGATGATTCCAGGGCTTCCTCTGCTCTCCCCTCTGTAGAGAGGTCTGAGCTGAATAACTGGAAGAACAATTGGAAAAGAGACACTCAGACCACCAACTCCTAGCTTGACATTTCCCAAGAGGGGAAGATCATAGAGGAGATCTACTGAAAATGTGGAATGTGCTGTGTGAAGTATGCCAGGGGCAGGCCTCTCTCTGTAAAGGGCCAGACCATAAATATTTTAGGCTTTTCTCTGTTTTTCTTTATTAATTATTTTTAAATCAACCCTTTAAAAGGTTAAAAAGAATTTTTGGTTTGTAGGCCTTACAGTGGATCTGGCTAAGTGGGTTATAGTGGGTTGACATCTACACTGGGCTATATTGTCCCATCAAACATCAAACTTAAGCTCTGAGTAAGAATTTCTTTCAACCTTTACAAGAATCTTCTGAGGTAGGGCTTACATGACAACCCCAATCCTATCCCCATCCTTATCTTACAGTTAGGAGGCCAAGCAACTTGCCCAAGTCCATATAGGCAGAAAGTGATAGAAGATTGGAACCTAGCTGGTCTGACTTCAAGGTCACTGGTGTTAACCACTACACTCTCCTATCCCCCACTGGTAACTGAACATATGGCTTTGCACAAGCCCACTTTTTCTGGGTACAGCCTCCATCCATCTGTACACCAAGAGGGACAGCGTAGTGTTTTCCTTAGTGTGAGTGGTACACTTGAGGCTATGGGAAATAATTTCCACACCTCACACGCACGGCATTAAATAGTATTGTTCTCCACAAAGAGCAGGTGATTGCTTTTTCAAGTCTCTTTTAGGTCTTCCAATTATATTAGAGAGAAAGGTTCATTTTGATGCTGGCACATCTTTGAAGTTTCTCTAGCATGTGCCAATTTCCATTTTTAGAAGAGATTTCCATTTTTACGGAGCTTCAAGATGCAGGGTCCTCAGGAGGCAGTGATAACTAGAATTTAGTACCGTCATTGTATCCTCATTGTTACCTTCTATTTTTGCTCTCATTATTTTATTTTTCTTGCCTTTCATGATTATCTCTATTTATGTAAAATGTTAGTGTTGCTATTGCTGCAATTCTCTTGTCCATTCCTGCATAGTTACAAGATGGCCTCAGAAGCTCTTGCCATCACACCCACCCTCAAATTGCAATAAGAGGGTAAGGGCAGATCTCAGTTACTTTTGCCTCCTGTTACCAGAAAAGAAAATGAATTCTACAGGTATTGCATTGATCAGAACACATTGTGCGGCGACCTGTGGCAGTGCAGCAGAGAGAATGACGAAGTGGGTGTTTGGCTGGGTACATCACCGCCCTGAACTAACCAGGGTTCTATCAGCAAGAAAAGGGCATCACTACCAGACTCTGTAATAAAAGTCTTGCCATCAGCTGGCAGGCCTCTGTGACTTCTCCTTAGTACGTGCTGAGGACAGGTATGGAACTACAGAAAGATTTTGGGAAGTTGGCAGAAAGCCAATTTCATCTTATTTTGCTTGCTACCAAGATACCTCTCTTTCCCACAGTCTGCCACAACTCTGAAGGAACGACACACAACGAGAATGGCAATATTAGCAACGCGCTCCTACGGCACGGTGAGAAAATCTTGAGTTTGTCCCACTGGTTAGTATGGCTCAAAGTGATAAACAACAGAATCCCCACTTTTCCAATCTCTAGTATGTAGACGATAAATTTTCTTAAGCACACACACCTCAGATACATGCCCCAGAAACCAGATTGGAAACCTTACAAAATCAGAGTTTTCCTTCTATTTCAAAAACCGCTTTCCACATTAATGTTTTGATTCGACAAGCATTTAGCAAAAGCTCACTGTTCCTCAGGCACCTGCCCATGTGCTGAGGATATAAAGGGGGGACTGGCCCATAGGGGGTGTATATCCTGGTGGGAGAGGCAAACAAAAAACACAAAGGGAAGGACAGCAGATTATGAGCTGAACCTGGGAGCCAGACTTCTGGGCTTTAAAATGAATTTTGTTGCTTCCTGGCTGTGTGGCCTTAGGCAAATTACTTGCATCTCTGTGCCTCAGCTTCCCCATCTATAACATAATGAGGGTCAATCAGAGTACCTGTCTCATAGGACTATAGTGAGACAATTTTCTGGCTCATCAAATGGCCAGGAAGCTAAGATACAGACAGTGTCTTAAAAATAAAAAATGGGTTCAGGTCATGATCTCAGGGTCCTGAGACTGAGCCCCACTTCAGGCTCCAGCAGGGAATCTGCTGGAGATTCTCTTACCCTCTGCTCTTCTCCTGCTCTCTCTAGGGCATGTTACCACTCTCTCAAATAAATAAATAAATAAATAAATAAATAAATAAATAAATAAATAAATAAATCCTTAAAAATAAAATATAAAAAATGAGGATGACATATTAGTATCTGGCTGTATGTACTGCATGGCTTAATTCCCAGCAAGTGCTTAAAATGGTGAGTGGTACGCAGTAAGCGCTCAATAAATGTTAGCTGCTACCCTATTTCAAGCCCTGAGTTTTGGCTGGATGCTGTGCAGTGCTACATAATTTCCCTAAAGACACTAAGGAATCCTCCAGGCCAATTTTAATGGACACTGTTGCCACATTCTTTCTCCTTCAGACACCTGTTTAAAGAAATATTTGCACAAAGATGCATTTGTATGGGGTGGAGAATCTGGCCCCAGGCATGAAAAACACTGCTAAGATTTGGGAATGAAATATAGTAGGATGAAGGTTGCAATGCTTCACGGAGCTCAAACCCTGAAGTGTGCAAAAAGCCAGAGAGTGCAGCTCCCTGGCATGATATTTCTTTCTTCCGCCCCCTCCTGGCCCATTCATTAGAATACCTGTGATTGGCTATTTTATCAGCATTTCCAATAAAGTAAAAAGGGGGAAAATACAGATCTGAGCTTTCATGGAAAGTATTCTAACTCTCACAACTAGAATATCTGCCTTAAAAAAATATGGTTTTAAGATCTTTAACTTTTCCTTCGGTCCCTCAGTACCCAACTGTTTGAAAAGCATCTTTTCTGGGGAATGACATTTCCTAGCACAATGTAACATATTAGTCTGTGCCGAGTGACTCAGTTTGATGTATATGTATTTTTTTTATGTCAAGTGACCCAAACTTACGTGGAACAAGTGGGCACCTGGTATCAGTTTGATGTCAGGGTTTTTCCAGGTTTGCAAGGGACCTTTAAATACGGTGTGAATTCAAGTCATCTGCAAGCCAACTTTCAGCTCCTGTCAAGATGCTCCTGTCCACAGTCCTTGCCTCTGTTCTGCTCCTCTGCTCTGTGGCCAGCCAGGAGTGTTTTAGCTTTATGGGGATCAGTGATGTCAGGTACCTCATTGACAAAGTGCAGGTAAGCTGCAGAGTCGGGCACCAGATGGGAAGGCAGCTAATGGAAATTTAGGTGAACTCACTTAAGGATGAAAAACTCACCACCCATGATGGGTTCTTGTCTTTCTACGTCCTTTAGAAACATCCCCCTTCAAGCTGCAGTTGCAGCACCAATGTGAGTAAATGCTCTTTTGAGAACTTTCCAAACTTATTTTCATGTTTGCATCTGGCATCTTTACTATGGAATTCTTCTTTTGCAGGTGACCGACTGTTTGTGTCTGCCCATTTCTTCTGTAAGTAGAACAAAACAATATACTCTTGACATCATATTCCTTCAAAGTTTTCAAGTAAAAATAAATAGCTCCATTTGGCAATTTTAAGTAAGAAAATGTACCTTGATTGAATTTTTACCCCTCAATATGTCCTTATAATATCAGGCTCTTGAAATTCTATCCTCTATACCTCGCTTTATGCCTTCAGAAGTTTGCACACTATTCAATGTTTTATTTTTTTATTTTTTATTTTTTTAACAATCTGATTTTTTTTTATTTTTTATTTTTTATTTTTATTAATTTTTATTTATTTATGATAGTCACAGAGAGAGAGAGGCAGAGACACAGGCAGAGGGAGAAGCAGGCTCCATGCACTGGGAGCCCGACGTGGGATTCGATCCCGGGTCCCCAGGATCACGCCCTGGGCCAAAGGCAGGCGCCAAACCGCTGCGCCACCCAGGGATCCCTATTCAATGTTTTAAAAAGAATCACGGATGCCTTTCTGGATTAGTGGCCATGTGCACAATTAAATCAAACTGGAGCTGAGAATATAAGAATGTAGCGTGTATTGTATTGCTTACTGATTTCCTAAAATTCTAGGATTGCAAAATGAGTAAGTAAAATTAATGCTTTTTTCCTCTTGCATAAACTATCCCTGTGCTATACCTTTTCCCTTCTTCCCTCCCTTCCAATCTGGTTTTTTTTTTTTTTTTTTTTTTTTTAGTTGATTTAGGGTGGCTGTTGCACAGTTTGAATGCTCGGAGGTTAGGGTGTCTCAGGTAGAAGGAAAGTGCAAAGGGCTTCCAGAGGGTCATTCCTCACATAGGCAAAGAGGAAGTATGGAAGAAATTCTCTGGTTTCCTACCCTAGCAGGGGTCAGATATATCACACCCCATCGGGGCACATCCACTAGATGAGACAAGTGTGAGGCACCTGCCGAGGAAGAACCAAGCATCCTGTAGCCCAGGCCAGCCCTTCAGTTTATGGTCTATGATTTTAGCTACTGCTGAGACAGTGGCTCTATCCAATTGGCACATCCCATCAGACTGGTGGGAATTCCTTTCTCTCTACTTTGGAACTTACTTTTACAAGACATGGAACAGAACATTAGGTGTAAAGGAGACTAGAATTAGTTGTTTTCCAGCATCCACAGGCTTTGTGTTCCTTGGATGGAGCATACTGGAAATCTCCAAGGAGTGTCACTGCTGAAAAATGTCCTTGCCTTGAAATGCTGAAGGTCATTTCCTAGACCAACAAGGGACTTGTCTAAAAATAATACCAGTTTAGGCTACATTGGTTAAATGAAAATAGTGCCTGAAAGTGTTCTCTTTGTAATTCTTCTCAAAGTGGCCCTCAGAGTGTTTCTTTCAATAAATTCTTTTTATTTACCAGGACAACTGCACCACACCATGCTTCCAAGAGGGTCTGTCCCAGTTGATCAACTCCACAGTGGGAGCAAAATACCTTCTGATTTTCAATCGAGTAAAAAGAACAGTCCAAGGCCTAAAGAACAAGTGCAAGGTGAATTTGTTTTTATCTGTGATATGCTCTACTTAGTTATTTTTATGTGAAGGTCAATGACAACTCTATCTAAATGAAGAAGGATGATAAAGTTGGAACTGGTAGTTCAAGGTCAATAAGAGTTCCCTAAGAAATTTACTCAGAATGACAAAAAGTGAGATCCACCCCGCTAGCCCATTATTCCCTCTAGTTTTAAAAAATACTCATACCCATGTTGCCATTTACTTCTTTCCACTTTATTGAATAATGAAAGAATCTGTCCTGATTGTAATAAGAAGTTTCAATCTAGAGGATCAGAGCTGTGCCTCAAAAGTTATTAAGTTATGCTAGAAATTCAATTCACTAACAGGGTGTTTGTTGTGGCCTATAAAAAGATTTTTTTTTTTGATTGGCTAAGAAGGTGCAAACACTCAGATACAGAGGGAGGCTTGCCATTTGCCTTAAGCACCTACTGGCAAGTTCTCTTCTTCCGCATATGCCCTTGTCCCTGGAGGGAAAGGGGAGGATGACTCTTTGAGAATTAGCATCTCCACGTGTGTCCACAGAAGGCAGAGAGCTCTTCACTCAGCTACTTAACTGAGCTACTTACCATCAACAGCATGTAGTCTAAATGCTTAATATTTACTGTTTCATCACAATAACATTCCTTTTTTTTTTACAATAACATTTCAATAACAAGTGTTTCAATGATCATTTGTCACCCTCACTTTATTAGAGGAGGAAAGCAATGCTCAGTGAGGTTAACCCATTTGCCCAAAGCTAGATACTAATAAGTGGCAGAGTTGAGATTGGAACTCTGGTCCATCTGACCCCAATGACTCTCTTAGCCAAAGTGCTACTCAATGACCTTGGAAGGATGACCAAACAGGATAATAAAACATTGGGACTCAAAGAATCCTGAGAAAAGTTCTCTTCTAGTGAAGAGATTTAGGACCATTTGATAGGTATCTGTGTGTATGTGTGTGTGTGCGTGTGTGTGTCTCACCCCTGAGATGGTAGCACAAAGTCCGCCACCTACACTGGCTATACAACATGCTAGCCCTGGACGTCTCCATGCATTTGCTCTGTCTCAAGCCCCTGCTGTCTGTACAACCTACCCCACCCCACCTTGCCCCACTGCACCCCCACTCCACCTCTCGCAGGGCTGCAAGTAGGGTGGTTCCTGGTCCCTACTATTTAATCACTGTCTTTGTTAACTCTTCTCCCCACAGTATTTCTCCTGTGAACAGCCATGTAACCAAACCACAACAGGCAACACGCTGATGTTTCTGAGGAGTCTCCAGGAAATTTTCCAGAAAAAAAAGGGAGTCACAGTATGAAGATGAATTATTTATGCTATTTATTGAATTAAAAAGCCTCTTCTTTAAGTTGGAGCAGTTAAAAAATCAGGTGAAACCATGCTAAATCAAAATCAGTGGTAATAAAAAAAAATCAGTGGTAATAATTTGTTTAAAATAATGTATTTTGTAATAAATATAGATGAAGAAAAAGAACACAATTTGGTCTCTTGGTGCTTATTCGCTCCTTGCTGCTCAGAAAAAAAGAAAGTTACAAACTCTTGGGGGGACTGAATGGATCATAGACTCCTATAATAACAAGATTCCTTATTCAGAACAGACTGGAAGTGCTGCTAGTCATGGCTAGGGACGTAGAGGGCACAGTTAGGAAGGGTGTGTGGACAGAGCCACAGGATTGCTGTCAGGGAGGCTCAGGGCATGCCTGATGCACCCTATGTGTGGGTGCTGGGGGCACTACTGAGGAGTTCAGGGTCCTGAGAAACCACCTGTGCACCTGAAATGGGAGAAGGCAGTGTGGTAAGCCTAGGAGGTGGGAGCCCACCCAGGAATGTAGGCGCCTGCACATAGAAGACAGCAGAGTACCTGAAGCTGAGCCAGGGCAAGACCAATGGAGCAGACCCTCTGAGTTAGAGCACAAAGCAGAGCAACCTTAGGATCAGTAGTCACCTATTTGCACCAGAGACCATCAGCTAGTATCCCCCACATGCTGGACAGGTTGCCCAGCTGGGGTTCAGAGCCTGATGGGGGCTATACTGAAGGGATCCTTGAACTAGCTAGTCAGCCTGGCAGAGCGTGGCTGTCTCTGATGGTAAATTAAATGTCACCTTGACCAGGCCACAGGGTGCCCAGATATTTAACCAAACATTGCTTCTGGGTGTGTCAGTGAGGGTGTTTCTGGATGAGATTAGCATTTGAATTGGTAGGCTGAGAAGCTGTGCCCCTTGTGCGTGGGCCTCATGCAAATCCAATGAAGGCCTCATGCAAATCCAATGAAAAGGCGAGGAAGAACTGGCTCTGTCTGACAGCTTGAGCTGGGACATTCTTCTACACGTGGACTGGAACTTACACCATCAGCTCCCAGGCTCTCATGCCTTTGGACTGGTATGATTGCCACACCAGCTGCTTCCTGGGCCTCAACATTGCAGACAGCAGTTTATGGGATTTCCCAGCCTCCTTAAATCACATGAGCGAATTCCTTATTACCTATCTGTATGTCTATCTATCCAGCCTATTGGTTCTATTTCTCTGGAGAACTCTGATTAATAAACTAACCATCTTACCTTAATACTTAACCTGCCACTTACCCCAGGACTCAGATTCTGTCTTCTATTCTGCAATGCTTATACCTTCCAAGATACTCTAGAATTTCTTACTTGACCATGTTTACTGTCTGTCTCTTCACTCAAATGCTAGCTCCCTGAAGGCAGAGAGCTTTGTTAACTCACTGGTGTATACCAGATGCCCATCCTGAGCCTGTCCTACTCCTATACCAGAGTAGGCACTCCATAAATACTAATGGAATAAAAGACATTGAAGATGCAAAAACAGAGTATGAACTGGTCTGTAGGTCAGGAATGTGCTCACCTAGAGAAGAGATGGCTCCCAGAACCACTACATGTGCTCAGAAAGGTGAGGTCCCAGGCACCTGGGTGGCTCAGTGTTTGTCTGCCTTTGGCTCAGGGTATGATCCCGGGGTCTCCCTCTGTCTATGTCTCTGCCTCTCTCTCTCTCTCTCTCTCTCATGAATAAATAAATAAAATCTTTATTTAAAAAAAGGCGAGGTCCCTTCACAGAGCTCCAGGCTGGCCCCAAGTGTGGGGTTCACCTGACCTGGCCACTTGGGGGGACCGCCTGCCAGTAACTTCCTGCATGGCCTGCCACTCTGTGTGATGGGCAGGGTGAAGGCAGGGTTAAGGTGAGGGTCTTGGGGTTGGGATGGTCTGACAATCACAATCACCCTTGCTCCTACTACTTGAAGGGTTAGAGGCTTGGGAAGAGCTTACAGGAATCTACCATGGGGAGTATTTTTCCAGGTACTGTCAAAATTAGGATGACTTTCCCTCTCTATTGAGCTAGACCATCCTTGGGTATTTTTGATACCCAATACCACAGAAAGTTCGGAGCATCAAGAGTTCTTCAGTGAGCTTTGCTCAGCTTTTTTTTTTTTTTTTTTTTTTATGATAGTCACAGAGAGAGAGAGAGAGAGAGGCAGAGACACAGGCAGAGGGAGAAGCAGGCTCCATGCACCAGGAGCCCGATGTGGGATTCGATCCCGGGTCTCCAGGATCGCGCCCCGGGCCAAAGGCAGGCGCCAAACCGCTGCGCCACCCAGGGATCCCTCAGCTTTTTTTTTTTTTTTTATCAGTTACAATGTCAAGCAATATGAGAAGTGACTTGTATTTTATTGTATTTTTTAAAAAGATTTATTTATTTATTTGAGAGAGAGAGAGAGAGAGAGAGCATGGCAGGGGGCAAGGACAGAGGAAGAGGGAGAGGGACTCTCAGGCAGACTCCATGCTGGGAATGGAGCCAGACACAGAGCCTGATATGGAGCCCGGCACAGAGCTCGATCTCACAACCCTGAGATCACAACCTGAGCCAAAACCAAGAGCTGAACGCTTAACCAACTGCAACACCCACACAGCCCAGAGGTGACCAGCATTTTAAGCAGTCCTCAGCCAAAGGTAAGATTCTCTGATACTCTAAGTAGCCCTGGTCCTCTGGAGTTGTACAGACCCTTTAGTGAGGGGGTGGGCACAAATTCAGTGCTGCACCTGCAGCCAAGCCCCTTCTGCCTGGGGGAGAGGGAGAAGGAATTTTAGCGAGCTGCACCGAGGTCAGAGGAGCCTGGGCTATCTTCTGGAGTGTAGAAATTTTGAGTCCATGGGGAAGCCAATCATCATTGTTTTAGTCTTAGCTTGCATGGAAAGGAACAAATTTCTCAATGATTTATTTACAGTGACATGTATATGAAAGGGCAAAAGTCAGATTTTCTGTCAAGAGGCTTTCAGAAGGGGACCAATGGCCTAGCCTTTGTCCTCTCTCAATGCCAAAGGCCATAAGCATTTTGTAGTGAACATAGACCTTAAGACAAATAGACAGTCATCACAGCCTGTTGCCCCACTTGCTTCCCAAGAGAAGTGAGAAGCATCATGGAGCAGAGGTGGGGGCGGGGGGGGGCCTGGGGCATAGGCTCTGACAAGGAGTTCTGAGCATCTCCCGTAAGAGTGGATACAAGACATCGTGTTCCACTATTACTGTTTATAGTAGTTTATCCCAGCGTCTCCCACATGACTTCTTCCCCAAGACCAGAAATTCCGAGCACTAACTGTCTTTAGCACTGTCCTGAAGACAGTGACTGTCCTGCCTAGCTCTCTAACTGGTCTGAGGATCCCAGGGCACAAAGCACTGAGGAAAAAGCTCTATCTGGCCAGTACATACATTATAATGTATTCAAATTAAGCATGTGATTACTAAGCACTTACTCTGTATATACTTAGCATGCACTATCTCATTTAATCCCATAATAACCACAAGAGTTAAGGATTATTATTTCTGTTTTGTAAGTAAGGAAATTGAGGCTCTAAATGATTAAAGACCTTCCCAAAGTCCTACAAGCTGGTGAGACCTAGAGCAGGACCCTTGCTCATCCCAAATCTATCGTTCTCTCCACTCTATTCTTTTCCTATTTCATGTATATCAGGGTGTGTTGCTTCGGACTACAGTCTGAGGGTAAAGCAGATTCATAATTATATGGGTCCATACTCCCTTAGTCCAAAACTTGAGGACCAGATAGCTTTCAGAATTGAAACTATTTGGCCTTCTAAAAAGGGAACACATTGCTCATTCGCCATATGTTACATAATACCCAGAGCAGGGTGTGAGACAGGATTCTGTAATTAAGTATATTAATATTCTCCAAAAAAAATAATACATGAGCAGTCACACAAAGTAGTCAGGTTTTGCAGCCAAATGAGTCTCAGCAAATCTTGGGCTTTCAGAACCTTTGGACTTCAGAATTGTGTAATTCCCTAGCTCTGGCCCCACTTAACAGAAGTAGGGCACTCTCTCCCAAGGGCTTATCTGGGGCCAGCTGGCCTCTCAGGGAGGGACACAGGCTTCTGTAGCATCCTGGGTCTTGGCCACAGCCCCTTCTCTCGTCTCCTCCCCTTGGGTTTTCTGAATGGCACCAGATATGTTCCCCAGTGTGGTTCACCACCCACAGCACTGGGAGCTGCCACCTCAGCAGTACTCACTCCATGTGGGGATCACAGCGAGGACAGATGCTAGTTGTTGGTGATGATTTCAGAACACAGCTTGGGGCCACCGTCGGCTGCCAGAGAAGATGGGGTGAGAGATGAGCTGCGATCCACTGTCATAGATGAGTCAACAGTGTGGCCTGGTGGTTTCCCTCAGTTGTTCTGCAAAAAGTCACATAACCCACAGGATATACCCCTGCAGGCAAGCTCAGCCCAGAGTTCTCAGGGCCTGTGATGAGGTGCACTGTAATTACTCTCCTACCCATGTCAGAAGAGTTGAGATTTATCTAAAAAGTAGCTTGGAGAAAGGAGAATGAATGAACATGCATTGAGTGTTCACTGTGTACCAAGCAATCTGCTTGTCCAGTTGGATCTTTCCAAGAACCTCATGAGGTAGATATGTAAATTTGTTAATCCCAGTGCATAGATGGGGCAACTGAGGCCCAGAGAAGTTAGTATAACTTGCCCCAAGCACACTGCTCTAAGTGAAGCCAAGGTTCCAACTCAGGTAACTGGCCCTAGAGCCATATCTTACACCTAACCAACAGGAGCGTGGAAGCTCTCAACACAGCCTCTGCCTTGTCCAGACTGCCCAGTCCCAGGCAGAGTTGTCTCCAGAAGATTCCAGTCCAGGGCACAGTGACACTGACCAAAGCCAAGCCCAGAGGTTACTGGCTGTAATCAGTCCCCACTGGTCTATCTGCCCATCCATCCAATTTGAAGCAGGTAGATATTGCAAAGGTTCAACTCTGACATTCCTTT